CAAGTTTAAAGCGTCACGCACGACGCTAAACGGGCGATCAGGATCAGGAAAAGCCAGCATTGGCGCCTAAAGGAGACTATTCTTAATGGCTCCAAAAGTTTCGTGGTGCTCGGTGTTCCACACCATTCCACATCCTTTTTAAAAGATTTGATAATGGCCGAGCCATTTCCGGATAGTTGTGGCTATACTTGTGCAAGTAATTTGCCAAACCCAACCACTTGCGGATGTCCTTCTAGTTCCTAGAAAACGGCCAATCCACTATGGCTTTGACCTTAACAGGTTCTGCCCGGATTTCTCGCTTCCCAATGAATCATCCCAAAAAGAGAATCTCTTCCGCACCGAAGATGCATTTGTCAATATTGGCATATAACTTATGCATCCTCATGCAACTGAGCACATCTCGCAGGTGCTCGATGCGATGCTCCACATCAGTCTTGCCATTTTCGGCTTGACTATAGACGAATATATCGTCAAAGTATGTCTGCGCATACGCCTTATGGGGCCGAAACAACTGCGTCACTAAATAATTAAACGTTGCAGGTGCGTTAGATAGCCCTTGGGGTATCACTAGCCACTCCCAGAGCATACCGCTCGGAGTGCTGACTGCTGTCATCGGCATATCACTAGCTCGCATGAGCAGTCAGTAATATCCATTGAATAAGTCGAGGGCACTGTACATCGTCCATCCCACCATGTTGTTCTGAAGAATATCCTTGCGAGGAATCGGTGTTTGAGCCGGGACAGTGGCTGCATTCAGCTTACTGTAAGCATGCACTATTCGCCACTTCCCATTAGGCTTCTTCACACAAAACGTGGGCGTAGAGTGAGGAGACTTACTATCGCGCACCATGCCAGCCGCGTGCTTCGCACGAAAGAACTCTTCAATGACGTCACATTGTTCTCGTGGCAGCGGTTACTGTCGCGTCACACAATATTTGGTTCCTGGAACCAAGTCAATCTCACGACGTGCATCTCTATCCGTAGGTAACACTGTAGGAGGTTCTCTGGAGACAACATCTCCATATTCCTTCAACAAAGGAAAATAAGGATCCGAAGGTTCCTTCAGGATCTGCGATCCACTACGCGCATTCAGCGCCTTCTTGGCATTTTCAAAAACTGCTTTATCCAAAAGCGATGAGGAGTTCAACTCCTCCTCAGGTCGTATAACGACCACTTCGGCGATGTCGCCTGCCTGTAAGGCAATGCCAAACTCGGCAAAGGAAAACTCGTCCAGATCTAACAGAGCACTTACTGCGGGTATAGCTGAAAGAGCCACTGGCTCTTCAACATCCCCAGTCAAACCATTGACGAGTGTATATAGCTGCTAGCTATCACCGTCACTCACGATATCATCATCGCTACTCATGCTGCTCTCAGCATCCTACGCATCAGCATCCACAGGTGTACACACCTCAAGGTCAAATACCACTTCGTTTACTAGCTGCACCCCACTCTCTTGGGTCAAAGCCTCGTCATGAGGTGCTCTCACCTCGTTGTCCTCAAAGACATCCGTCATTCTTGACTACACCCGACCCTCCAGGTTCAGCTCCGCGTCGTTAGGTGCATGCACTTCGTTTTCCTCAAAGATAACATCCATTGATGACTTCACCCGACCCTCCAGGGTCAGTTCCGCGTCACACATGTCACTTGGACTCATGTCCTGACATCTTGGCTTGCAGCCACCATCACCACTCACGGTGTTTAATGATGTAGCATCATTCTCATGACACATGTCATATGCGTCATCTAGTGGGTTCTCAACCACACTATCGACATTCATTGGACCTCACTCAGGAATATTGTCCTCGACAATTACAGCGTCTACAAAGTGGGATATTCCGACATACAACACACTGACCGACTCGGTCCAATACTTTGTCCGCGCCAAAAGCGCTTTTTCTTCCTAGCAGAGGTGGGTTCATTACCCTCCAGAGCCCCACCAGGAGCATTGCGCGTTGCGCCTAAGGTCTTCAACCTCCAATCAATTCATGGCTCATGACTTTCTAGCCATGCCATGCCTAAGATGAGGTCATACCTTGCATCCAGGTCTAAGACCAAACAGCGCTCCATGATGTTAAAGTCAAAGAACTTTACATTTAAGTTCATCGGGACTTTGGGTACCGTAACGCGCGTACCAGTCGCTAAGCAAACTGTGACTGTGTCACTCTTACGCGCTATAAGCGCTTCATCATGCTGCTGACTACCTTTCACCGTGGCACGGCGCACATAGTTGCCCGATGCCCCCGAATCGATCAAAATGATTCATGGCTTATTAAAGCCCTTGATCGCCTTTTTGACGACTAGCAAGCCTGGCTTGCATTCTCGTTCCGTTTTTGAGAGTTCGGATCTCTTTGAGGCTGGGCCCTGTTTACTTCTACCTCTTAGAGGTTCAACAGAACTCAGTTCGTCCACAGTAGGACACCCCGCGCATTCTGGGCTCCACCGTTTCCCCACGGCAAACCAGAAGGTTTACCCATGAGGCGTCGGCCCTTCAAGGCCAAATATGCCTTTCTTGCAGGGCATTTTGCCATCAAATGGCCTGTGCTCTTGCAGATATAACATCTGCGCACGATTTGCTGCTCCACAGCTTGAAGCTCAGCTTCTTCATCCTCCACTTGACTACAGTACATGGGTACAGACCCATCAGATGAGTAGTTATAAGTGGCAGGCTTCGGCCTTAAAGCTGGTCTCGGCGATCCATGCCACTACAACAGCTTCCTCGAATGAGGATGGGTTGACCCGGAAGACTTCCGTTCTGGCAACGCCAACTCGGACGCCCTCCATGAAGACCGTGACGGTCACTGTCTCAGGCATAGAGTCTATGACCATGGCAGCAATGAGAGTGCTCAATTCTTGTACATATGCCGCAAGCTCACAAATGCCTTGGTGACACGCCAAAAACGCGACCGATTACGGTGTGCTTGGTTTGGCGGTGCATACTGCCGGGTCATCTGAGATTTCAGATCGGCCCATGTGGGAAAAGCATCTTGCAATGATGCACCACATGTGAATGCCCACTGTTTGACTAAGCCACCCAACTTGCCCGTGGCAAAGCCAACACGGTACAATTATAGATGATATCGACTATAAACATAGTCGACTACACATGTTGGAACCACAGCATAATGTTATCACCTTCTTTGACGTCGAACTAATCGACTTTCATATGTATGGGTTTTGATTTTGTCTGCGGACCACTTCTTGCTCCATAGTTGTCATGGGCGGGGGCGCAAAAGAAGGCATCTGTGCCTTTACATGCTCGACTCGAGCTTTATTATAATCATCAAGCATACGAATACACTTGTTAACCTCTTCCTCGCCTTGGGCGATGAACGCCCTTAGGGCCAAGGATAGGGAGCAGCTTCTGCAACCCTTCCTGTTGTGCCTTGGCAGGCCAACCGCTGACATCTCATCGATGTCCATTCTCACACAGAGAATAGGCACAAACCTAGGTGCGGGATTGACTACAAGTGCTACCAGGCGTAGCCGAGCTACTGTAGCTACGCTGGGTGCAGATGCACTTTGTGCAGATGCACTATGTGCAGAAGAAGTAGTCAAACTACTGTAGCAAAGCTACTTATGCACTATGTGCAGAGGAAGACAAGCTCAAAGAGCTTCTACGTCTTTGAGTGTTTAACCCTCCTATGCTAGCTTGTAAGCTTGTGTCTATCGGTTGTTACAACCGAGTCTCAGATAAACTAGTATCAAAGATAAAACTTCCTCAGGAGGAATAGAATGCTCAAGCTGTAAAGCCTACAGAGCAGGTTTGAAACTGATTTATATTTATGTTTATCTTCTAACACTAAATATAAAAGCCCCGCCTACTCTATACTTAGTGCTAGTCACTATTTACTGGCTCTAAAGCCTGTTATTATTATGCAATATGCATAGTCACTATACTTAAATAAGTATAGGGACCACGTGGCTCTCTGCCACGATGCGACACTTCGTACTTCAGGTACGGTCACATCACCTCCTCTTGTACCCAAGGTACAGCCACACCACATTGGTATGACAGGTGTGAAGTAAAATACAGAAAAACACCTTCGTGTAACCGGTTTAACTGATGAATATTTCTATTTGAAACCAGTTCCCGAATAGTTGTGTATTCTTAGAGCACGGTAGAAATGCCATCGCCCTCAAACCACCAATAGGAGAACGTCTCCATGCAGATGACGAAGACGTTGGCGTGGAAGATCCTACACCTGAGGCGGACGAACGACGCATGACCATACTGTTGTAATTTTGATTGCTATCGGGGCTAGCGCTGCTTCCCGTGCGGTCGTGTGACGTGGTGTCCACACCGAGCGATGCGAAGAAATCCTCAGGCGCGGCGACCCCAACGGTAGATTTCTGGCGGAGTCGCGTGCCGACGCTCACAGATTTACTACGTGTAGCATTATCTGGTTATGAATCCTTGTCAGACGAGAAGCCGGCCGTGCAGAAGAAGCCGTGGGCTCCGTCCATTGTCTCGCTCTACTTACTCGCTCACTTTACAAATTTGGATGCGGTTTTGCCTTTGGAAGGGGAATGTGCGGTTTCCCTGACCATCACTCTGAGTAGCTTGAAGTAATTAGCGGCACTACAAACCCTCGCAATAATGACATCATCTAATGGTGACGAGAACATGAATGAATACGTTTCCTGTATACTTAAACATGTGGATCCACTTAGCAGCATGTAATGCATTCATTAGGACTGTAGAAGCATGCATGTATATTAATGAATACTTCGCGGCATAATGGCACTAGGTTACCGCAAAAGTAAAATATTGGGCATCGACTGGTGCCACTAAACGCAAGGGTAGATGAGTGACATTAAGTGGCATTAGTCTGTTTTGATTTACAATCGGTGTCTAATAGTGTGACAACCGCCAATTAGTAAGCAAATCGTCCCGCTGGCACCGGTGGGACTTCCAGTGTCTCTCACCCGTCGCTCGCTGTATTGGTTTGTGCAGTGCATAAGAAACCTATTAAGGACGAATCAGTCGAGAGAGAAGGATGCCGATAGAGGTACAGCGTAAGCTAACGGTGCTGGGGTATCCAGGCGTCGGCAAGTCATCGCTCACCACGTGCTTTGTGGAGAACCGCTTCGTGGAGAACTATGACCCGACCATTGAGAACACATTTCACAAGACCATTCGGGTGCGCAACGCGCACTTTGTTACGGATATCGTGGATACGGCAGGCATGGTACGAACTACTGATCCAAGGCACTTGCAGTCTTTTTGATGGCCAACTGGATGGTTGTGTTGATGGCAGGATGAATACGCAAACTTCTCCCAGGCGGCGTCAGTGGGCGTGCACGGCTACGTGCTCGTGTACTCGATTGGTTTACGCACGTCGTTTGAGAAGTTGAAGTTGATCAATGAGAAGCTAGTTAACATGCTTGGCTCCAAGCCACCTCGCGTGTTGGTTGGCAGCATGTCGGATCTAGAGAAGGCCAGGTGAGTGTTGCAGTGCAGTTGATTGTAAAAGATTTGGTGCTGACAGTTGAGACTGGTCGACATATGTGTGTATTGCAGAGAGGTGACTGTAAAAGAAGGTCAAATGCTGGCGAGCAACTGGGAATGCCCCTTCGTCGAGTGCTCGGCAAAAGACAACGAAAACATTAGTACGTTGAGTTTACTTGTACATTGTATTGATTTGGACAGATCATATGACGTTATGGCAATATGCAGACGAGGTATTTACTTATCTAATCAAGGAGATTGAGCGCGATTCCGGTCTGCTGGAGGAGAATGGAGAATCCCAATGCATAATTGTGTAACTCAGACAGCAAATTAAACTCATGCGCGGCTATCTGCGCTGCAACTGCGAAGACCTTGCCCGTTTTGAAATGGTAGGACGTTGCAGGTGAAGAAGAAAACATGGAAAGAGAAGAGAGCGACATAAGAAAATTGAAAGAGGAAGGAAAAATGGATCAAGTGGACCACTTACTGCTGCCATTACACCAAAAATCTTGCTCTATAATTAAGTGTACACTGTACCTTTAACTTTCCGTCGTACTTCACCATAACTGATTCTTTCGTAATCCGCTTCAACTCTGGTCGCATCCATTTGTATATAAATGGGTCGTACCGAGATAATTTACATCAAGATTATTTGCGCTGGAGGATCCCATTCGATGTTTCGTAATAATTTTTTTGCAAGTGTAATGAAGGTGCTGAGTCGCCAATTGGCACAACGTTTTCTTCAAAAGTTCTGTGAGTAGTATCACAAGCCGTTCATATCGTTTGCTAGTGTGATTAAGTTTCCGTGGCGTTTTTTGCTATCACACTGCATTTCTATTGACACTAACCAATGCTTTGGCGAAATCAATTGATTGCCATCGCACTAGTTGTAAGTTTGACGATATTCATGTTGGCGCAGGCAAACCGTTTTTATTGTCAGCGCATAAAAAATAAGCTATACGTGCAGTTCAGATCAAACGAATTTGTAAGTCTTGAATGATACTTAAAATTGCAATATGTATGGTCTTAGCTACTTATTTTGGTACTAGTTCGACACGGTCTACATCTAGCCTGTAGCTCATTGAAAACGTCTGTAAGAAAGGGCAAGATACGCTTTAATCGATGAAAGCGCTCTGCCTAGAAAATATACTTTTTCTTGCGCCTCCAAAACTCCTCATAGGCTTTCAAAACTGTTAGCTCGCTCTCTTTCGTCACTTTGTTTGCTTGGCTAATATCTGTAGGCGATACTCTTTTCTTTAGCCAGCGCTTAAACAGGCGTTGCTGAAAGGTCTCAACCAATTCCGAAGAAGTGCCATGCTCGTTTGCTTGAACAATCGCCTTGATTAGATCACCGTCAGACACAGAATTTCTCAGTTCGTCAATTACGAGAGCTGGCATTTTATTACTGTTGCTTTTTATTTTGTTGTACATTGCTACATGATAAGTATAAAGCCTCATTTCTGGACTATCAACAATTTTGTAAAGGTTCTCTTTTTCGTGAAGATGTAACCTCGTTCAAAGTTGAGTACGGCGTCATACCATTTCTTAAGTCATAGAATAGATACGCATCGCGTAGTTTTTTTTTGATTTGTTCTAATCTTTTGCTTTTTGTCGGGCCATACACAATTTTCGCAAAGCCAGCATCATCGAATATTCGCAACAAACGCGCTGCAATATTTTGAAAATCCTCGTTTTTCATTTTTTTACGATTCATAAAAAAATATTTCCACGCTTCCATACCTTTAAGATCTTCAAATTGATTGCCGGGAAGCTGTAATCCGTTTAGAGCATTTCTCCATCTTCTTCGATAAAATCCTTATCATGTTCTGGGGGCAAAAACGATTTCACCCATTCATCCACTGGAATTTCTTTTTTAGACCACCACCACATTCTCTCTTCGTTTGCATCCATTCCATGCACAAATTTGTGGCCACGTAAATGCCTTTTGTTGTCTTCCATGAAGGTCGATGTCAATTGAGTCGAAGACGTGTCAGCTGTGGCGAATAAAGCAACAGAGGTTACGAGCAAATAAGAGTACAGACGCATCTTGTGTCAGGCGAGGTAAGAAAAAGAATGGTAACGACGAATTTGCGCTGACCTTTTCTTCTTGTGAAATCAAATGAAGTGTCCGTTTGCTATTTTAATGACGATTGACATTCTGTCCTGTCCAATGCTTCATACGTTGCAATCAAAAAAGCTGTTTTCTAAGAATCATATGGAATTTTGACATTTCTTTATTTTTGTGCGCCTATCCAGCATTTCGCTCAAATCATCTTGGTAATCCATGTTACGCATCAATTAATAAAGGTTCTTATAACCTTATATACAAAGATTGAACTCCGTAATAAGATGCAGTAAATCCATTAGTCCGGTGGCTGCAAGCAGTTCCGGACGAGCGTAAGTTGCTCCGACCACGGACTTGTTGGTCCACACGAAAGTCAAACTTTACGCAAGAATGAGAGCATATTAGTCTTTCTCGCATGAGTCATGAAGAGTAATGTGATTGAATTATTGGAAAACGGGTATCAAGACCATGTTTAGGGTTGCACAACTGTTTTAATCGTCCCATCTAACAGACCATAGCCGATGCAGTGACTCAAACAATGATTCAGAATTTTCATGAAAAAACTGTTGTTGTCGTATTGTGATCATTCGCCGTTGTGTATTGGTTGCAAAACACCCTTGCTGCCTGTCTCAACGACAGATGATGATAAAGTTTAGATGTGAATCAAGAAATAACCTGTAACTACAAACAAGATTGTAACGTTGTCATCGGACAGTATGGGACGTTGTCGTTTGTGGTATTGCAACGTATAGGAAAAGAGGTAAGAGGTATGCATCAAGATATGCTTCAATGTTATATCCTGCTTATCGTATTGGATAATGGCGTCGTGCTCATGGGTAATACTTTTGACAGTTCGCAGCTGATAAAGTCAATACTGACACGTATGAGGACCGTTCTTACGTTGGAAGTCCTGAATTCCCTCAACTCCTTGACATTATGCTGATAATTGATACGTCATGAGAAATGTAGGCACCCTTTCAAGCTCTATCAAGCCTTTCTCTCAGTCAGCACTGACCCAACACAACACGAAGGTGGACGGTTCAATAGATGAATGTTTCTATTTGATACCTTGGCGCGTTTAAATATGAACAACAAATTCGTCGTCAGGGAGCTGAGTTTGCTGCTCCACACTTCGCTGGACCCACTCCGTCGTAACAACACGAGGCTCTGGCAAGCCTTGGTGGCGCAAGTTCCGAATAGCTGGTAAAAGTTGTTCTTTCTGGTTCTGGCCAGAAGTCGCTTTAATGACAATGTGCGTAACGCAAGAGCTAATCTCGCGCGCAACTACCCCTCCATACAGCTTAAATTGTTGCTTCAAAAACTTTGTTTCTTGATCCGAGACAGTGTTTACGCCAAAAGACGAACCTTCTGGATTGATACAGGGATGAAAATACACTACACAATGGGACAAGAAAGTACATGCACAATTCATCGCTTCAGCTTCTTCCATGTTCAAGTCTTGTATTTGCATTTGCCAATGCAAAACCTTCGATTCTTTTCCAACATTCATACACACCTTTTTTAATATGCGCTTTAATTCGTCTGGGTGTACATGTTCAGTGAAATGATCTCCGTAGCGGTCGTACTCTCTGGCGAGAACTTTTTGTTGCAAAGCTGTTGCAAACACAAAATCGCTCGCCTTAAGTGGCACTAACCGTAAAGCAGCCACGCATTTAAATATCCACTTAATGTGCACAATGTTGTACAAACCTTGCTTCTTCAAATTAATCACTTTAAATCCAGTATCTCCAGCTGCCACAACGTAGTTTGTGCTTTCGATGGGGTTCTGCACAACATTGCCTCCAAAAGAGTGTACCAGTTTTTCAACAGCCTGTTTCGTTAATTGATTGGTGTGCTCATCGACTGTACCGTCAGGAAATGATAAAGCAACGTTCAGCGGGGGCGCTTCGTATTTCCCAGGTAGCACGCAAAACTCTTTTCCTTCAAACACGTTTCGTTCTTGTTCAATACCTTCCAGGTCTGCCCGAGAGTGCCCTTCAAGAACGTTACTAGGACGACGAGCTGAGATTGCCGTGCGCTTCTTGACACATTTGGTAGTGCTTTTCTGCCCAAGAGTTACGTCAAAAGCTCGCTTTCTTGAAAGACTTCCACGAGCAGCGTTTAGGTCTTGAAGATCAGTGCACTGATACCACTCCTTGTCATTGCGTATTGCTTTGCATCGAGGGAACCGGAGAGTAAGCCCAGTCTGATACAGAGTCGAAAATGATAGCTCAAATCCATACACTTCAAGAATCTTGGAGTGTCGTGGGTCGATCCAGACATCAGGTCTCAGGTCACTCTTCTGCGGTTTCCAGCCGCTCAAATGCGGTGGAATATTGTCGTCGTCCCATGGTCGCCAGTACGGTTCCAAATCTTGTCGCATTTGGTCAAGCTCATCCAGGTTATATCCAGTACCAACTTTAGCGAATGTGTATACCACTGGACATGAAGCACCTGGCTTCATTACTTTAGCTGCCTCGCTTTCATCAAGCGAGTGTGCAAGTACGCCAATAAGAAATACCGATACATTTCCACTTCGACGTCGCCCTGTACCATAAAAGCCGCCGACAATGATGGCATCCAAGTCTGTCGTCATACCCGCATAATCTGGCTTCAACTTCAGCCACTTCTTCGCCTTCCTACTGCTTTCTCCACACATATAGTGTGCGTTCAAATCTTTCATCATCACCCCTTCACCTCCATTTGATACCTGCTGATCTACCTCAGCCATGACTCTCTCATGCCTTTCCTTCGCTGTCTTGTCATTGATGAGTTTTTGTTCGTTAATAATGATCCGATGATCCAGCGGTTTAAGAATTCGAAGCAACAATTTGCGTCGAGCAAGAAGCGGCAACCCCATCACAGCACTAATTTCACCAGGACCCTTAAAAACCTCGCGTATAAGTTGTTCTACTTTTGGACTTCCACCCAGATAAACTACATCCCACACAACGTAGCATAACCATCGGTTCGTTGCTTCTCCTTTCCGCACAGCGTTAGCAGTGTTCTTTAACAGTCCAAATTCACGAAGTCGATATTCTGTATTGTCCCACACCATCATCTCTCCATCCAAAATACAATCCGCGTCCGACTCAAGTTGGGACAGCACATATGGTTTAATTGAAGGTGCATAATTATCCGTGTAGTTGATCCCATTCCTTGAAATAAACTGTACTTCTTTTCCTTGTACATGACACATGATCCTTTCTCCATCTAATTTGGGCTCGATTACAAATGTATCAGCATTGATTGCACCAATACATTCTCCAAAATTTACTCTCTTTGCAAGCATCGGAGTAAAGACTTGAAATGGTTTTAATTGAGGTACATACCTCACTGCTGAGTTTCGTAAATCTGTACAGATCTTACGTAAATCATTTGTATGATTATACATTTCCATAGCATCTGGATGCATATATTTTAGTACTCGTTCATGTCGCAATCCGATCTTGAGATCTTTTAATACAATTCGTATAATCCATTTTTGCTCCTCTGCCGTATATTCCGTCACTAGTTTCATCATACTTGTCTTCCTTGCTGTATTATTATCAGCTTGGACTAAAGCATCCAAGAACTCATTTACATTTTGAATTGTATGTGTCTTGTTAGATTTGTTACTTGTTCCACTGCGATAGAGCATGACTTCATATAGTACAGCTGTAAAATCCCCTACTGATTTACTATTAACAATCTTTGGATCATGAAAATGCTCCATTTTTTTTGCATCTTGACTACTCGATGATAACCCTAAGACTTGAATATAAAGTCTTGCAATCTTCTTTTCTTTAATCATATAAGTACGTTCACGATCCAATTGAGGTAAAACTAAGCGAATGAGTGGATACAGATCACTCTCACCCACTTGAGCACGGAGATTTGCACTAAATAATAAATCCAGCTTCTTTTCACTCTTACTTGTAGCCTCAATGGCTTTAAATACAGAACAAAGTGCCGTAAATGACAGTTGAAGCACTGCCATTTGGTCCTTTGTGGTCTTCGACATTATTTTGACAAATGCGGCAGACTTGGAAGCTGCACTTGGAGTGATGGTCAGATAGTAGATTTTAAACCAATAAGAAAAGTGGAAATGAGAACAGCCAGCTATCAGCTAACAACTTACTACAGTTAATTAGCTGCAAGGACAGCGCAATCCTGTCAAAGCACATAACAACTTCTATATACTTCTTCGGGCAAATACTAGCTTAAAAGCAGTATCTATCATTTTCATTTTTGGTCCACAACAGATCGGGTTAAACAGATTCTTTTGTAAATGCACCAAGTTAGCAAGTCGCTTGTCAAATGTCGTACACGACCATCGAAATATTTAATCGTCAACCAAATGTGTTGAAACTTATGCGCTTTTGGCATGACACTTGTCAAGAATTTTCTTGGCCATGTAAAATATTGCCGCTTTTGAGTCCATGATCTTACTTTGTTATTACTTTCCCAAAGCAGAAATAGAAGCTAGCTTTTCAATCATATTGACGAGTTGAAAAAGCGACGGTAAAAATGTTCAGGAAAACTAGAAGCAAAAATTGACGGCAGATATGCACAACATGAATGAGATCGGGACCCTACAAAGTAGGCGGACCACAGATTCTGGATCGGGCGCGCAGCCGTAATAATTAAACATTGTTACCTGAGTTTGGAAAGTACTCAGGTCAAAACTTAATTATTGCATGCTGTTAAGGTTTCTTCTGTTGTATCGCAGTCTACACACCAGATTATCTCGTGTACTCACAATATTATATAAGAGTATGACTGTCATCTCCAAAGAAATATGCTAACGTGAGCTGATTAGCAGCAAGTTCATCTGAAGAAGCAACACATGAAAAGACGCACGCTGTAACGGGGTTACAGATACACATCTGCTACACCAATGTGGTGTGGTGTTCTTGGGTACAAAGTAGGTGATGTGACCGTACCTGAAGTACGAAGGGTCACATAGTGGAAGAGAACCACGTGGTCACTATACTTATTTAATTATAGTGACTATGCATATTTGCATAATAATAACAGGCTATAGAGCCAGTAAATAGTGACTAGCACTAAGTATAGAGTAGGCGGGGCTTTTATATTTAGTGTTAGAAGATAAACATAAATATAAATCCGTTTCAAACCTGCTCTGTAAGCCTTACAGCTTGAGCATCCTATTCATTCTAAGGAATCAGTATCTTTGATTCTAGTCTCTTTAAGTCCCGGTTGTAACAACCGATAGGCACAAGCTTACGAGCTAGCCTAGGAGGGTTAAGCACCCTAAGACGTAGAAGCTCTTTGAGCTTGTCTTCCTCTGCACATAGGGTATACGTAGCTTTGCTACAGTAGTTTGACTACTTTTTCTGCACATAGTGCATAAGTAGCGTAGCTACAGTAGCTCGGCTACATCTGGTGGCACTTGTAGTCAATCCCGCACCTGGGTTTGCGACTACTTCTCTGTGTGAGAATGGACATCGATGAGATGTCAGAGGTT